ACAAAAATAAAAGTACAGTCACCTGTCATAATGTCATATTACATAATGTCATAATGTAATGGTCACCACCACCCATCTCTTGAACCCTCATTTTCATGCCCCTGAAATGGCAATTCTCCATTTCCACCCCCAGGCCCATACTTGCCATTTTATGACTGGTTTAGTCACCAGTATTCTTAAGGTCATCTGCTATAGCAGTTATTAGAAGCGCTTCCTTTTTAAGGCTAAGTTCTGGTCTGTTGTATGGAGATTACCGCGTTTTGTGTGTCTGTTCCTCCACTGATGAACACTTATTTGAGTTGCTTCCCTGTTTTACTACCGTGAACCATGTTGGTGTGAACATGAATATTTAAAGCTTCATTTTTTAATTGTATGTGTTCTGTCTGTGTGTACGAAAGTGCGCTATGTATGTGCCTGGTGCCTCACAGGCCAGAAGAGGAGACTGAATTCCCTGGAACTGGAATTGAGGATGGCTGTGAGCTGCCGAGTGGGTGCTGAGAAACAAACCCAGGTCCTCTGCAAAAGCAGCCAGTGCTTGAGACTATGAAGCCATTTCTCCAGCCCTTATTAGAACTTGGTTTTGAACTAGAGTTGATGTTTATTAAAAGATAGTTTAATATAGATTTTATACTTAATGATTAAGAGAAAGAGAAGCCCTCAAGAAGAAAGTCAGACACATGCAAGAACGTGGGTGTAGGCACTCAGAGAAGCGTGGAGTCTCGACGTCATGCTTTAAAATCAGTGAGAAGCTGAAGCTATTGGCGTTTAAATGCTGGCACGATTCTAATGCTGCTGCCCCATGATTTTCTGCAGCCATTTGGTTATCACTGGAGACCAAATAGGTTTGACTTCTGAGTGACGGCGATAGTTCTTAGAAGCTGGTGACAGGGCCATGTCAAAACCCAGCAGCTGTCTCAGCTTAGCGGGGAGAACAAGGGGTGGCTAGGGTCATCAACACTTGGTCCCATCCGGAAGAGAGAGTTAGGAATACAGAGCGTGGGTGCCGGGCAGGGTGGGGCGTGCAGCGGGTCAGGGCTAAGACAAGGTTAGGCTAGGAGGTCCATTCAGCGGACAAGGAGTCCATGGTGCGCAGCTCCCAGCTATGCAGGACGAGAGTTCTTACTAAAGAGAAAGTGACTGGGCAGGTGAGGTGGTAAATACCTTTAATCTCAGCTCTCGGGTGGGCAGACAAATCTCGGAGTTGAAGCCAATCTGGTCTACAGAGCAAGATCCAGGCCAGCTAGAGCTACATAGTAAGACTCGGAGTCACAAAGGAAGAAAGCAAGTTAGTCATCACGCCTTTAATCTCAGCATTGGAGAGGTGGAGGCAGGCAGATCTCTGAGAGTTTGAGGCCAGCACGATTATATAGTGAGGTTCTGTCTCGGAGAAGAAGGTGGAGGGAGAGAGAGCAGTTGAAGTGCTGGGTATGGTGCACTTGTAATGGTGTTCATAGGAGACAGGCAGGAGGACCAAGAGTTCAGGAGCAGGAGCCTCTACTACACTGAAAGTTTGCAACCCTGACTTTCCAAAGCTACTCCATATTGATTAACAAATTCCATCTTGGAAATCTTTTCTTTCAGCCCTGTGAAAGGGCTTCCCCAGGAGCTGGAGAGCTATTGCAGGGCAGTAATTCTTAACCTCGGGGTTGCAACCCCTTTGTGGGGGTCCAGTGATCCTGCATGTCAGATATAATATCACGATTCCTAACATTAGCAAAATTATAGTTATGAAGTAGCAATAAAAATAATTTTATTTTTGGGGTCACCACAACATAAAGCACTGTAGTAAAGGGTCACAGCATTAGGAAGTCTGAGAACCACTGTCTCCGAGGTTAAGGGCATTCATTGGCTGCTCTTCCCGAGGAATCAGGTTTGATTCCCAGCTTCTACACAGCAGCTCACACAGGGGGATCTGGTGCCCTCTTCAGGCCTCTGCAGGCACTGCACACACATGGTAGGGACACAGACATACAGGCAAAACCCCCCACTACACATACAGTAATACATTTTTAAAAGAAATACCCCAAATTAAACAACCCTGTCTGCACTAAGTCAGGCACTAGACATGTAGCCTGAACTTGGCCTCAGCCGCCTTGCGGGATGAGAAGTGATACAGTGGCACCACTCGCCCAGGAACTCGCCTGTGTGCAGAGAAGAGAGGAGCAGGCTTCCACTGCTAGACTAGTACAGCTTGCAGCTCAGTCTGCGTGTTTGTAGAGGTTGACGGGGACCCGTTTCATTCGTTGTCACAGTTCATTTCCAACCTTCCAACTTCTGAAGTCGTTGAAGGAACCGTTCGGGAAAGCTCTGACTATATCAGAACTATGCACAGGGGCAATGCGGAGCTAGGAAAGGCCAGCCGGTGTCTGTGTTTAAGCAGAAGTCAGTCGCCTCCTCTTTCTTATCAGCAGCTGGCACGCCACTAGGTTTTATGACCGTAGCCTGAGTGTGTTTATACCTCCCTTTAAATTAATTCCTTACTCTTTCTTTCCCTTTCAGATTTCTTGTTTAAATTCTTGGTCATCGGGAATGCGGGAACCGGCAAATCTTGCTTGCTTCATCAGTTCATTGAGAAAAAATGTGAGTGAGACCGGACGTTTGTGTAATGTCTGTGAGCCTTCCCTGGGCACAGGGGTGCTTCTGGGAAATCTGAGCTTTCTGGAGAGGGAAACCATACCTTCGAAGTGCTTCACTTAAAAAATTTTTTTTGAAAATTTCATACATGTATATAGTTTGATCCTCTCCACCTCCCTCTAGAGCCTAACATGCCCCCCACTCTCTCCTTGCTTCCATGTAATATCATTGAATTTGATTGAGGTTGCTTACATGCATAGGTGTGTGGGGCTTTATACTGGATTACAGACAACAGGCAACTTACCAGAAGCTACACCCTTGAAGTAAAATGACTGTCCTTCCCCTAGCAGCCGGACTAACATCTCCTCAGCTAGGGCTAGAGCCTACTGAGCCCCTCAGTCCTCCATGCTGGAATGTTGATGGGCTCAATTCTGTGCAGAGACCTTCCCATCGGCGCTGTGAGTTCATGAGTGATGGCCGTGTCCTGTGCAGGGACTTAACATATAGCCAATTTGGCCTCAAATCCATGCCATCCTCTTGCCCAGTTTCCCAGTTGCTGGGACGGCATGCAGTCATAAACCAGCACATAGGTCGTCTTTTCTGTATTTATAGTGCCCACTCCATCTCTGCAAACAACAGAGCAGCCAGGCAGATGGTGCATCCATTCCTAACCGTCCCCAGATTCTCCTTGCCACAAGAGCATGCCTCCATCTGGGTTGCTGCTGAGGTCCGCCCTGTGGTGTGCCTGGGGCTGGGGTAGGGAACCTCCTACCTGATCCCACACTGGAATCTGCCTCTGGCGCAGGCTAGATTATCTAACCTCTCATGCCTCCAGGAGAGAAAAAAAAATGCATCATCAAGTGACCCCCCGATTCTGAAGCAGTACACTGTGTCCGAGTCATGAGAACCAGCGGGGGAAGGGGTAGCGTTTGTTCTAGCTCATCCCCTGTCATAAGAAGTGATGGGACTCTCCAGTAAACGCATTCATAGTTTTGCTCTGCAATGCTACAACTAATGAACATTTGGTACTATAATACACATAAGAAAGGACCAAAAGAAAAAAAATTCCCAGAAAGACCCCAAATCAGAGTTCTATGATCAAGTTATCTTTGGGTCTCCTCTGTTCAGGTCTTTGGAAATAACTAGTTTGATCACTTCACTTCTGACTAAGTGTCCAGTGTTACCAGGCACACGCCCTACTGTGTGGCAGGCTGGTGTCAAGTGGCTGATGTTAGTCTTCTGTCTCAGGCTCAGGGAAGCCTCTTCCAGTAACTACACCTTGTATGAGGAGATGGGGGACTCTCTACTGTCTCTTTGAGAACAGGAATCGTGTGATTTACTAGTTAGTGCCGATCGTCAGCTGAGAGAGAATGGATGGCCGAAGCCTTTCCATCTACAGAGCCCTCAGGATAGCCCCTCCCCCACTTCTTTTTACGATTTTTATTTTAGTTTTTCAGCCCCTGATCCTTAATGTTACTATTGAAATCTGTGAACTGTTACCCTTGTGCTCTAAAATGTAATTATTTGTTGTTTGTTTTTCTTTTTTAGTCAAAGATGACTCAAATCATACCATAGGAGTGGAGTTTGGCTCAAAAATAATAAATGTTGGTGGTAAATATGTAAAGTTACAGATATGGGACACAGCTGGACAGGAGCGATTCAGGTAGCTCTCCTAATTTACTAAGAATACTTGAACTTGGACCCAAACTATTTAGCTAGATTTCCTCACTGCATGTGGTCTCAAACCAACATGCACACTGATTTCAAAAGCTCCAGCTCGGCCTGGAAGCTCTCACTGCTAAGAGAGCACTGACTGGACCCCTGATACCAAAACAAGCAAGAGAGAGCGCTCGGTAACTAGCGTCTCTGGCGGCAGCTCAGTCTAGAGGCTGTGATGCTGAGCATCCCTGCAGCTGGTTTCGGGTTTCAGTCTTTCCTTCCATGTTTTGAGGCAGGGTCTGGCTGAGCAGTCTAGGTGGGACCTCAAGCCTCTGACCTGCGTGCGTCATGCTCCTGAGGGTCAGGATGATGGGTGTGCAGCACCATTCCAGCCACAGTATGCTTTTAGATTAAAATCATGGCAATGCAACAGGACAAATGGCTTTTTCCATATTACACTTGAACGAGGAATTTATAACCGCCCGTAATGGGTTTTCACTCCTTTACACTAACTGGAACATGCTGTGACAGCTGCTCTGGAGGCCACTCTTGCACAGCTGACTCCAGGTCCCTGCTAATCAGCTTGTATAGCTAGTATCTTTTAACAGTGAGTGCAAGACCGTGTATGTACTTTCTGTATAGTCCACAAGCCACAGAGTCCAGATTCCATGTGGAATAGTCACACCCCCACAGCAGACTTTTCACTTTTTGATTAAAATTGGGGCTGTAGTACAGTGGTGCCTATAGTCCTAGCTATTTTGGAAGTGAGACAGGAGGATCACTTAAGTTCAGGGGATCAAGGCCAGCCTGAGCAATATAGTGTGAGACATAGGAGGTGCCCAAGCAAATGTTATTTTGCTAGTATTAAAAAAAAAATCTAACAGGATGACTCAGTAGGTAAAAGCTGGGCAAGCCTGGCAATCTGAATTTCATCCCCAGAACCCATGCAAAGGTATAAGTAAGGACTTCACAAAGTTCTTGTCTGACTTCTATATACATGCCTCACCCCAACATCATACATGCAATAATAAAGTTAAAAAAGCAAACTAGCAAACACAGAGAGAGAGAGAGAAGTTGGCATTACGGAAGAGAAAATGTTTTACTGAAAAACAGATCATTGAGAATGTGAAGTAGACAAAAGACCAGTCTTTGTAGAGTGAAGAGTAGATGTGGACCGCTGGCAGGGATCTAGGCTGCTCCCATCTTGGGCTTTTCCTGGGAAGAAGGGAGGAGATAGCACAGGACACCCGGAAGTGGCAGACAGATGTGAGGGTTCCCTGGAGCGTGGTGTCCACATAGAGCTAAGGACACTTGGACCACATGCAGAGGAAGCATGGTTTTTATGGGGAGAAGAAAAGGGACTTGATTGTTAGAAGCCCTGTCGTTCCTTCAGGTCTGTGACAAGAAGCTACTACAGAGGTGCAGCTGGGGCTCTCCTCGTCTACGACATCACCAGGTAAAGTCAACTCCCCACCACAGACTACTTGGTGTTCTGCATCCATGTTGGTGAGACGTGTGATTCACTTGGGTCTAGACAGGCAGCATGGCTGTACCCAGCAAACCTCTGGGCCCTTTCCAGGGGATTCATAGAGGTCTTTAGTGTTTGTTTGTGAGCTCTTGGGGGCTGAAACGAGCCTTCTGCCTTACTGGTCTCCTTCACACCACGTGGGACATATTCCTTGAGGTCTGCAGGGCTCTGTGAGTTCTCAGAAGTGAATCAAAGGGCTAAAGATGCAGATTCAGGCTCAGATCACCTGGGTTCAGATCCCAGCTCGAGTCAGGGGCTTTGTGATCTCTGTAGGCCTGGATCTCCCTGTTTGGGTCTTGGTTTCCTCATCTACTATGAGATGAGGGTAACATACTTGAACCCTCAGAAAGCTATGGAAGGGGGTGGGTTTAAACCAACTAGTGAAATACTTATTGCAGTTACTAGCTGCATGTAACAACTTAGCTTCTTCCTGGGTTGCTCTGGCCACATTTCAACTCCTCCGAGCCACATGTGGCTGGTAACCACAGAATTGGCCAACGCAGCTTGCAGCACATTCCTGTCCTCGTGGATATTTCATCAATGCACTGGCCTCAGAATTTGCAACATTGTCCTGGAAGCATGTGATCCAGAGGGTTCCACTAAGGGGCCCTTCCTGGGAAGAATCTGATCCAAAAGAGAATAGCGCATGGTTGTCTTTCTCTTCTGAGAGGGTGACACTCCTGACTCCACCCTCCTCTCCCCCGGTGCCACGAGAGGCTCAACCTACCAGGGTGTGGTATCACTTGTGCCAGTCCTTAAATGTGAGAGCCAATCTGTAGGTCTGAGTTGGTCCTGGGTAGACAGAGCTAGGAAGTCCTGCATGTCCCTGAGCCCCCAGCTCCTAATGGCAGGAGCGTCCTTGCAAAGTCAATGTGGTGGACTCCTGTGGATCAAGGTGCCCACAACTCTGCAGGTGACAGTGATGAGTGTTGCAAGTCAGGCGTGTACCTTGCACATTCTCAGGGCTCAGGTGCATTTGTGAAGCGAATGAAAAGACCCCTTTCCTTTGGAACCCAGACTGTCTGACTCACGGACTTTGTCGTCACACAAGCTAAACACAGCCTGTGGGCCTGATGTATCACTGGGTTCCCACGGCACTTCTGAGGCCCCGTTGCCCTTGCTGAAATGTTGACAAGCAGTGTGCATGGTGAGGATGACTGGAAAGAGTTGCTGGTTTTATAAAATACATGTATTATTTCCACAATCTTATGTTACACAGCCGAGAAACCTACAATGCGCTTACTAATTGGTTAACAGATGCCAGAATGCTGGCGAGTCAGAACATTGTCATCATCCTCTGCGGGAACAAGAAGGACCTGGATGCTGACCGTGAAGTCACCTTCCTCGAAGCCTCCAGGTTCGCACAAGAGAACGGCAAGTGACTTCTTCTCTTATAGCCTCTCATCAGGGGGTGGGTCTGGGCACAGTGACATTTCTTTGGGTTTAAAACATCTGGTGGAGTTTTGAGATTAAATCATCTTATGAAACTGTGGAATCTCCCCCGTCTACTTAGATACAGTTCAGCACAGCTCGGACAAAGGCCAATGTGCTGAGGAAAGCAAGGTATTTACCTTCCGTAAGGACTTTCAGGTCTCTGGGATGTTAGCCATCTTAGGGTGGCATGCATTTTATGTGCCTTGAAACATAATTGGTGAAGTAGTCATCCCTCATAGAAAGGAAGCAAAGGACACACTTGACAAGCTGGCTTCATTTTCTTATATTAAGTCATTTGTTTAATGGTAACGAATCTTTGTTTGATTTTTTTTTTTTTTTGAGACAGACTCTGTGTATGTAGTCCTGGCTGCCCTAGAACTCGCTATGTAGACTAGGTAACAAAATTAATAATGTTTAAACTGCATTGCAAAATTATCCATTGTTTATAGAGATAAACATTCAGGAAGAGCCTTAATTCTGAGAGCCAGCTCACACTAATAGATCCTTATGGCCACATCTGTTTGGACTCAAAGACAGAAAACTGTTTTCCCAGTTTGATGGGTTTTTACTAAAAAAATAAACATAAGCCAGGCACAGTGTGGTGGGGCTGTAATCCTTGTATTTAGGAGGCAGAGGCAGAAGGATTACTAAAAGCTTGAAGGAAACTGTTTCCAAAAGTGGGGGGAGGGGCGGGCAGGAAGAAGACAGACCCAATGCAGACTAGTACATGGGGTGCTTCAGAGCAGCCGCTCTCGACCTTCCCAATGCTGCGAACCTTTACTACAGCTCCTCATGCTGTGCTAACCCCCGGTCATAAAATCGTTTTTGTTGCCACTTAATACCTGTAATTTTGCTACTGCTATGAATCATAATCTAAATATCTGCTTTCCAGTGGTCCTAGCTCACAGGCTGAGAACCGCCGTTTTAGAGCTACTTAGAAAGCAGGAGCTGTTTAGTACAACGAGGAAAGTCCCTTATCAGGACAGACCAGAGGCTAATAGTGGTGGTGCAGCTAATGCACGGAGCGGGCTTTCCACTGGAATCAGCCCCTGCTCTGGGGATAAAGGAGCCTGACGTCAGGGCTCGAGAGTTGGCTCAGTGGCTAAGCGCACTTGTTTTTGCAAAGGACCAGGTTCAATCCCAGCCCACCACCTCCTTTGGCACTAGGCACACACGTAGTACACAGACATACATGCAGACAAAACACCCGTGCACACAAAATAGTAAAAGTAAATCAAGTGAGACTTCTACCCAGCCTCCCCAATTAAAACTGGTAATGCTTAGAGGAGAGCAAAATTAGTAAACAGTATCTAGGATACCCAAATGCACACATTTTCAAACCGGACGGCTTTCCTGGGCAGCAGGGCTATGTCTGGTCGGACAGTCATGGGTCCTGCTTGTGTGCAGTGCAATGCCGTGACGCATCAGCTCCGTGTCTGCGTTCACGGAGACCTGCAGATCACTTGGAGAAGGAAATTGCGGCCGTAGGTCACAGTTTTAGCCAGTGTGCTTACTTCTTGTCAGCTCGGGAATTAGGGCATAATAATGATCATTCTTCAATGACTTCCCCATTACTTAATACATTAATGTACCCGGATGTGATGGTACCTGTAATCCCAGCACTGGAGACAGAAGAGGTAAAAATCAAGAGTTCAAACCAGCCTCAACTATATGAAACCTTACCTCAAAAAAAAAAAAAAAAACCAAAAAATGTAGATTTATGTATATTAATTTTATGTTTATAGAAATTAGATTTAGGTACTGGACTGAATTTTGCTTGTCACTCTATGAGAATGCTGTGCAGGCTGTTAGCAGTTCAAAGTCACTGTCATTGGGCCAGCAAGACGGCTCAGTGGACAAAGGCTCTTGCCTCCAGGCCTGAGGACCAGGTTCCATCCCTGGGGCCCCCATAGTGGAAGGAGCGAAGTAACTCCTACCATGTGTTCTCTCCCACCACACATGCGCCATAGTTCACACTCTCTCCAAAGTGAATGAGTAAATGCAGTAATTAAAAATGTAAAGATCGCTGTCTTCTAACCGTGACTCACCGTATCCTTTAATGTCACTTTTAGAGCTGATGTTCCTGGAAACGAGTGCACTGACTGGTGAGAACGTCGAAGAGGCTTTCATGCAGTGTGCAAGGAAAATACTGAACAAAATCGAATCAGGTAACAGTCTTCCCTGACCTCATCTGTGGGTTTTACCCTGTAGCTCAACAGTGCCCCCTGCTGCTTGCAGGAGCAAGACTGTAGTACAGCACCCCTAAACAGCATGCCAATCACACTTGCCTGAATACAGACTCTTAGACATTTTCTTGGTCCTCAGGTGAGCTGGACCCGGAGAGAATGGGCTCTGGCATCCAGTATGGAGACGCTGCCCTGAGACAGCTACGGTCACCACGGCGTACACAGGCCCCAAATGCACAGGAATGTGGCTGCTAGGCACGCCAGCAACACAGGTGGGTGCTGGAGGCCCTGCATGCTGGACAGAAAAGAGAGGGTGTGAAATTGCAATGGGAGGGTTGGGGAGAGCAGGAGAGGAGATCCATAGCGATAGTCAGAGGTGTGCTCAACAGGACTGACCCTGCAGGAACTCCTCCTGACCACTCAGAGGCAAAGGCAGGTATCTGCTGGGGCAGCAATTCCTTCTCGTTAAACCATGGAGCAGACTTGACCTAACTGAAGCCTCCCCAGGAGCATCTCTAAAACCAGCAAGCTCTCCGTTAAACATTTTTTTCTTGTTTTTTTTTTTTTTTTTGAGACAGGGTTTCTCCATATATCTGTCCTGGTACTCGCTCTGTAGACCAGGCTGGCCTGGAACTCAGAGATCTGCCTGCCTCTGCCTCCCGAGTGCTGGGATGTGTGTCACCACCGCCCAGCTATCATACTTTGATAGCTCTCCCCCATTTACCACAGTGACCTTTTTTGTCAGGGAAGTTGAGGCAGGAGTTCACTATATAGCCCAAGATGGGCCTACCACTTTATGACACTCCTCCTGCTTCAGCCTCCCAAATACTGGGATCACGCGTGTGTGCCATCATGCCCAGCTCGCCGTGGCATTGCCTAGCAGGATGAGCTAGTGTTAATCCAAAGGTGAAACTGACCTGTCCGTTGGGCTGTGAGTTGTTTCGCATTTCCAGCCACACAGGTGTCTAACCACACTTCACGTTTCTCAGGTTCCGTGGCGGTTTCTGGGGCACAGCTGCTGGAGCCTGAAGAGTCTGGAGTCTTTACTGCCACCTTTTCTACCCCGCACAGAAGCAGATCTTCATGGGGGAAGCCGCAGTGCACACTGGCAGACAGGGCTCAGCAGCCACACTGCAAACTAACTCAGTGGACAGGACCTTTAGATGCCACACATATGCAAAGACCCCCGCCCCACGTCTACCCCTTCCTGTTCCGTGAAACCAAGCTTGTGCTGCACACAGCCTGGCCCGTTCCTCCCGCACAGAGCCAGTGTGACATGATAGAATCCTGCTCTCAATGAAGCTTTTTTCTTTCAACTCACAGGAAATGCAGTTTGTGAATGTGAGCGTGTTTTTCTCATCGTGTTGGTTACACACGACTCAGTATCAGAGGACTCTGGCGCTAAGAGCCAGTGCATTTCTTATTTAATCCCTCTTGCCCTTTCTACACCGTGTCTGTGACCCACACCTGAAATGCTACCCCTGAAGGACTCACTGTCATCTGGAAATAAAGTGGAACCAAGTGTCTCACGCACACCGCACTGTCCTGCTCTGTGGACTGCAAGGCTCTTAGCCGAGGTCAGTGCAAGAGCTGCCGTGGGCCCAGGTCAACCTGCCTGTCTTGTTCGGCTTCCACATCACCCTCGACCTCCACTCTGTCTCCCGTGGTGAGGGCGTACGTGCCTCTTTTTCCACATCTTACGTTGTTTTGTAGTCATTTTCAGCAAACTCGCTACCTCTAGCAAAGGAGTCTGCTTATGAGGAAACTTGGGCTCGGTAGTAAAGTGTGTCCTTCCACGTGTGCGAGGCCCTGCCTGGATTTGATCCCCAGCACCTCCACACCACACACATTATCCTTCTGCCAGGTGCAGTGGCACACATCCATCTCAGTAGACTGGGGCAGCAGGAGGCTGGCATGACCTTAAAACCATCTTGAGCTAAAGAGGCTGGAGGGTAGAGGTGGATCACACAAAATTTCTCTGCAGCTCTTCTTGAATACATAAATGCCTTACTGTATATCATTATCAAACTGGTCTGGTTTTTGTTTGAGACAGGATCTCACTGTGTAGCCCTAGAACTTGTTATGTAGACTAGGATGACCTCAAATTCAAAGAGATCCATCTACCTGCCTGTCTTAAGAGTTCTGAGATTAAAGGCATGTTTCACCACACCCAGCAAAGCCTGCTTTCCTAACAAGCAATATTTCCTGAGTACTGCTTTTCTTGTGCAAACTTTAATATGACCAAACTTCATTTCTCTTTTATTTAAAACATTCTCCAACTTTGAGACTTTCTCTTTGGCAATGTTTCATATGTGTGCCATTTAATTTCCACCTGACCAGATCTTCTGTCATGAATTTCTAGTTTAATTCTACAACAGCCACAAACATACAATGCATAATCTTATTTTTTCTTTTTTTTTTTGACTGGATTGGTGTCTTGGTAATACTGTGTCCTTGGGAGTTTGAGTGATTGAAGGGGAAGGGAGCTGGAGCTCCTGACTGTTGGCTCTTCATCATCACCAGGCTTTCCTGCGTTGTGGCTGGTTCTCACCTGTAACCTCTAGTGTCCAGCTCTTACCCTGAACTTACCAGTCCCATCAGATTCCTATCTGTAGGCGACTCATCCAGCTCTGGGCCCGTCCACACAGACTTTGCCTCAGTCCGACACAGCTGCTAGACACAGGCTGTCTTCACTTACTCGTATCACTCTGGGCATGATGCTCGCGTTCTGCAGTCACGTGGGTCCCAGGAGTTCTCGGCATCGTCACAGCACTGTTGACATAGAAACATGAAAAGGCACTGTCTACACGGATATGTTTGGCTTCTTTTGCATTTTTAAAATGCTTTTCAGCTTCTCTGAACCTGCTTTCTTTAGGCTAAACATTTTTAGTATTATCTCTTTATAAAATGTAATCTTTAGTATTATCTCATTATAAAATGTAGTCTTTTCAGACGCCCCCCCTTTAAGATAGGGTCTCACTCTAGCTCAGCTGGCCCCATACTCATGGCAGTCCTGCCTCAATTCCCCTCATGCTGGGATTATGGTGTGTGCCAACATGCCCCGCTCTGGCTACAGAATCCCCAGGTGACATGTTTCTTTTCACTCTGGCCTCCAGGATCTCCGTGAAGAATGTGTCATCGTTCAAACTGTCAGTGCAACATGCGGTCTTCTTTGAGCACTTCTGGTATCTTACTTCTCGGCAGCTTGAGGAGGGTGCATCCGGATGGGTATTTGTGTGAGTCAGGATCTCACTACTTAGCCAGATGTGGCCTCAAACTCAGGTCCTCTTGCCTTAGTCTCCCGGTGCTAGGATGGCAGGTGCTCAGTGCATCCCTTTGAGTTTATCCCACATGGAGTTCACGCAACATCTTGACCCTTCTAGTTTTATCTTTCATCAGATTGCGTTTCCAGCCATTGCTCATTCCCATCTTTGAACGCCTTCACCGTCTTTCTCATCTCCCATGCCACGGGCACCGATGAAGCTCTTTTCATCTCTTCTTTCTGCTGTTCAGACTGGTGATTCTCTTTTGTCTCCATCCTGCCATGGAGTCTATCCAGCTGTGCTCGCCAGTATTTTCATTTAGAGGTTGGTTTTTGAGATACAGTCTTGCTCTGTAACTCTGATTGACCTGAAACTCCCTGTAGAGCTCAAACTTGCAACAGGTCTCCTGCCTCTACGTCCCCAATTCTGGGATTAAGATGCCCCCCAACACATCTGCCTATTCACTTATTTTTGTCATTATTATCCATATTCTGATCTTTGAGAGTGTTCTGATTGCTCATGAGAGCTATTTCAATGTCCGTATCAATATCTGCGGTCTTCCCCCCTGAGCCTCCCAGTTCGGATGCTGAGTGGTATGGCCATGGCCTCACTGAGGCTGAAGGGTTTAACTTTGTGGAGTCGACCTTGTCTGAACCTGCCTTCTGTCAGCTGGATCCCAATTCAGCATCGATTCCAGACACTAAAACCAGACACTGTGTTTATTTGGACCTTCCCTACCTGTGACCCAGAGGTTTCCTGCTGGTTCAGTTTCCTTTGGTCTGCTAGTTAGGACCAGTGTGAACTAAGCCATAGCCCTGCCCACCCAGCCTGTGTTGTTTCTCACTCAACATAAGCTTAGAATAAGGGGAAACTTTCCTAAATACAAATTTGTTATTATGAAATCCAGAATGCTGGATCTATCGCAGGACTGAGGGCTGACACACTCCAGCTTCCATCCTGTGGGCCACCCCCAGGTTCCACTGCCTAAAATCCCCCACTCAAGGTTCATAAAGTTAAAAAAAATGCCCAGAGATGACCAATAACTGCCTCTTACGGAGAATTTTTAAAAATCTTCAAGTAATTTCAACCATTTGAAAGCTCTTGTGAATACAAGAATCCCCCTAGATTGTCCAGATTTCCCTACAAGAAGAGGTATTAGGGAACCATTATAGATCGTGTTCCCGGACACCTTCCATGGTGCTGACTCTGGTGCCTTAGAAAGCCTGGCGGTTGAGCAGCTGGTCCTCACGTGGTCATATCTGAGATCCTCTGCGGGATGTGTCCCAGGACCCGAACAGCCACCTCATGATATGGTGATTATGTCTCATGTAACTGTGTCGTGTACAAGCCTAGGTTAAAGAAAAGAGGGAAGACCTTCATAAAGACACACAAATGATGGGTGGACCAGTTTACAGAGACCTCAATATGCCATTCACTCACCTTGTAGGAGTTGGTAGCAAAAACCATGTAGTTGCTGCCAACCTAAAGTCTACCTATTTTGAAGAGTAGGAAATATAACTCACTTGGCAGAGTAACCACCTAACATGCATGGAGCCCTGGATTCTTCCCTCCCCAGAAACAAAATTAACTAGATGTGGCGATATATACATCTGTAATCCCAGCAGTTGAGAGGTAGAGACAAGAACAGAAAGTTCAAGGTCATCCTTGGCTATTTAGTTCCAGAGCCAGCCTGGGCTACATGAGACCCTGTCTTTAATAAGAAGAAAATAACCAGGCATGGTGGCGGATGCACTTGGGAGGTAGAGGTAGTCGGATCTACAGAGTGAGTCCCAGGACAATCAGGGCTACATAGAGACTCCAGTTCCACTTCAAATTGAGAAGCAGGCATTTTGAAATGACCAGGTCATGTTGAAAGGGCAACACTTATACCACATGGAGTATACATACAGCAAAGACCTTACCTGGGCCAGGTGACTGCAGAATTGGCCATGGCATAGCACAAGTTTATCCATAAAGCAGACCGTTCAGCTGTCCTGGTTTTTCTGGGCAGTGACCTTACCTGGAAAGTAGCCTCTCCACTCCTCTCCAACTCTACCTCTGCTGTCTCAAGTGTCACGGAGTCCATTGAAGATGTTTTTAATCGGAAAGCTGGGCAGAATCTCTTTGGCTGCTGTTTCATTTCTGGCCACGTGGGGACCCCATGGCACCTCCATGCCGGGCAAACACCCTATCACCCAGCTACATTCCCAGAACGTAGGCTATGTCGGAAAGGACGCCTTCAACAACAGCCCCTTTGCTCGCTGTCTTTTCTTACAATGCAGTCTGGTTATTGTAATAACCTGAGCAATTAGCAGCCAACCTTCAATGAAACACAGTGGCAAAGATGTTGCATGGGAATGGAGAGACGCACGCATGCGCTGCTGCACTGTGAGCAGGTGAGACCACCTACGATGCTAAACACGTCAGAGATTCCATGGGGGTGGAGCGGATGAGCAGACACATAAGCAACAAAAGTACGCAGATGTCTTCTAAACAGACCGTTTAAGGAAACATTTCTATTTTCTTCCCATTCTCGTCACTCCGGCAGAACTGGGCATTCTTACCTCAGTGTTCTGTTATTAGCTCTGAGGTAAAAGTAGCATAAAAACCCAAAACACTATGGAAACATTTTTTAATTAAGACCTTAAAATCAAATTTTTAAAAAAGACTTGTGTATCATTTATTTTAAATATGATGGTATTCTCAAACATTTTCAGACATTTCCAGCATGGAAGCTAACTTTAAATTATCGCACTGCCTTGAAACATGTCTTGTATTAGCTCCAAGGACAGAAAAAAGATGTTGCTAAGATCGATTTGTTAAAAATTTCATAGGCTCACCGGGTGGTGGTGGTGCACACCTTTAATCCCGGCACTCAGGAGGCAGGGCCAGGTGGATCTCTGTGAGTTTGAGGCCAGCCTGGTCTACAAGAGCTGGTTCCAGGACAGGCTCCAAAGCTACAGAGAAACCCTGTCTCGAAAAAAAAAATAAAAAAAAAATTCATAAGCTTAAAAGGTAATCACCACCTTTTGAAAAGGAGAGAAACTGAAGCCTAAACACTAGGAACTCAGGTGTGGGAGTCACAGCTAATCCATACGCACTTCCTTGTGGTATATGAACATTAAATATCCTCCGAAGTCCTGATCATTTGTGCTCTGTGTAAAGAGAAGGTGGCAAAGACACCAGCATGGATCTCAGCACACCTCAGCCTGTACTCCACCACACATGCGAAAGGATGGACTGTCTTCTATGCGCGTCTGAAGGCCAGGGTGGGGGTCCTGTGCCCTTCCCCCGTCTTTCTGAGATTATCGGGTGCGGCTTGATGATAGAGGGCTGGGTGGGGAACACAGACCTTCAGGGCACAGCTTTACGAAGAGTAATACTCAGCAAACTGGGCCACTGCCCCAGTCACCCTGCCTGTGTGACATCTGGGGACTATGTGGTTAAGAGAGTCACTAGCAAGGTTGTATTTGGACAACTTGGACAACATGTAGAACTTACTCTTTAATTAAATACACACCTCAGTGGGAGGGCTCTGTACACAAGGGTCTATACAAAATAGGCAAATATTTTTAAAGTTTTTTTTTTAAAACACTCATGATTCTTCAATATGCATCTTCAAAGCTTCATACAGTTTTAGGATGACATCGTGTGACGATTTTATATGGAATGAAATCAGTTTGTGTTCTGGAAATTATCATACTCGAAAAACCCAAAGGAAAAACATCATGGAAAGGCTCAGCCACACGCCCAGTTCTACCCAACAAACTCAGATGCTGAGTGGGTGCAGGCAAAAGAGCTCCCTGTCTCTCAGGAAGAACATGGTGCTCGTCTCCTGAGCATCCCTTCAGCAGGATGGAGAAGGCACCCATCTCATGGAAACCTAGGTTTTTTTAAAACCATCGACAGTTGTCCCCCTACTAGAGGAAGGACATTTCCATAGTTCGGCAGCACCGATCACCAGGCCGGACACCAAGGAGTCACATTTTCAGCCTACACTATCAGCACCGTGTATCATGAAGCCTTCATCACGGTCTCCAGAAGGAAAAGCAGAATGGAGGTGATGGCCGCTCATGCTGTCTGCCGGTCCCATCCCCACAGGCCAAGCAAACTCAGTTCATTAAAGGTCATTTCAAATTTCAAGTTTTCAATATCATCGTCTGCTCTCTCCGGAGAGGGGCTTGGCAGGTCAGGCTTAACGAGCGGCTGACTATACCCTGTGTACTCTAAAGGGGAGTGCTGCAGTTAAAAGAATATGACGCTGACTCAAAAGAAATGTCACCATTAAACACGGACTGCACGGCACGTCGTTCACTGGACTGTCCCAGAACTACTAAATTATAAGTTAAATAAATATCTAAGTGACAATTTAAAAAAAAAAGGTGACCATTGCTCTGGCCAGAAAAATTCTTAACTATCATAGTCTACATGGAGGTGAGGAGAAACGAAATGTCCAGTGTCTTTGTTCAGCAGCTGCCAAAGTCCTAGTTCATCAGGAACAGCATCGATCTCATGCCTTTGCCCTTGTTTTCCTTGCTGCTCCTGGGGCCAACTGCACAGATGTTGTGCCTGGGAGTCCTGCACTGTGGGATGGGATGCCCCTGCCAGCTGTGGAATGTGGTGCTGATCAAAGAGGACAGCTCGGACCGTGCTGGAGGAGGGTGCGGGTTGGGAGCGCCTAGAGCCAGTTAAAGGCATTTGGTGTGGGTATCTCCAAAGGTTAAAATCTTTAAAATAAAACTCTTACAAGAATATCAAGACTTGGGGACTTGTCTTCATAAACAAGCCAACATCTATGGCTTCGATGGTCTGCCCTAACTAATAAGGCAGGTGACCAACCATCACGAAAGCAAAACCATCTCTTGAAAATCCCTAAGAGGAGCTTTGCAGGACCAGTTGATTTCTTCCACCCACGCATGGTCTCATTTGACAGTTTTGGTTTTCTTTTTCTCTCATAAACACTTGGAAGAGGACGTGCCAGCATCTAGGCCCTGGCTGAGTAGCACCGCATGTACTCCGTCAGCCACGGGTTCTCTGCGGAAGTTGGCTTTACCGTCCGGTTCTTCTCCACATCCACGGAGTGAGCCCGCTGCCTCTGGGCAGCCAGTTTCCTTTTCTCCACCTGTCTTCTGTTTTTGGCTCGAAGAGCGGATTCATGAATCTAAAGAAAGTTCAAAGATAAAGATAGTAGCCTAAGTGGCTAAAGGACCAATTCTGAACAATATCTAAAACTAAAAGTCTGGGGATGTCGCTCAGTGCAGCCTAGTAAAGATGAAGCCCTGGGTTCTATCCCTAGGCATGGAGCTACACACCTGTTATTCCAGCCCTTGGGAGGTAGAGGCATAAGAATCTTAAGTTCAAAGCCATCCTTGGCTACATGGGAAGCTCAATGCCAGCCTGGGATACACAAGACTATCTTACATTGTTAGCCTGATTCCCTGAAGCAAGGAGTCAAGTCCTACCAGTCTATGGCATCAGCGCTTCATAGAATAAACCATCCTGCCACCACAATTCACCGTTACCAATGACTGCAAGGCTGAGCACAGAAAATTAAATTTTAGGGCTGAAAGATCACTCAGAGGCCAGCACAAGTACTGTTCTTGCAAAGGACCTAAGTTCAATTCCCGGAGTCCAAGCTGGGTGGCTCACAGCTGTCTGTAACTAGTTCCAAGCGGATCTGATGCCTCAGGCCTCTGAAATCACCAGCACTAACAAACACAGACCCACACACATATACATAACTAAAAATAAAAATTTTTTAAAAAATAAAAGTTTAGATATAAACGGCAAACATCTAACTTTTATGTGATCTAGGACCAACTTGGCAAAACTTGTTTTGTTTTGTTTTGAGATAGGCTCTTGCTACGTAGCTGTTTGGCCTGGAACTCACTACATAGATCACACTGGCTATGAATTTCCAGGGATCCTCCTGTCTCTGCCTCCCAAGCACTGAGATTATAGGTGTGCCACCACAACAAGCTCTGGAAATCTGTGGGAATTCCTAAACGTAGAAGAGTCTGAGTTCTTGACAAGGCTTTAAAACACTGCATGGAAAATGGAGACAGCCAGGTGCAGGTGCACAGCCTGTATTCCCGGAATTTGGAAGGTAGAGGTAGGGAGATCAGAAATTCAAGGTCATCCTCGGCTAGGTAGTGAGTTTCAGGCCCGTAGTTACATGAGATTCTGTCTCAAAATATAAAAATAAAACAAGAAAAACTGTCAGGGGAGTTTATCCTGTGACAGATATTCACACTGTTAAATTAGCCCCAGAGACTGGTCAGAATTCTCTACTAACAGCAGCCCCCTTGTCTCAGATTTCACTTCAAATAAACAGCATCTGCCACCTAGCTGCTCTGGGCACTTGCCTGGCATTATAGGGAAACTGAGTTTGCAGTTTCTCTTTCTGCCTGCTCTTCGGACACCCCTGGCATCCAGCTGGTGCTAACACGGTAACCGTTTCAAGATGGACCATACCCTCTCTGTCCCCTGTCTAAAATATCTCAGGTCTTGAGAGAATGTCAAGCCAAGGCTGAGTCAGATGATTGGAGCTCCATGGAACAAAACACCGTTGCATACACATAGGAAAGCAGCGAGCTGAATTTCATCAGAAGGGAAACAGAGGTCCCTAGAAGATGCCAAGTAGTCAGACATGCCAAGGAGAAAGCCTTGGTCAAAGACCCAGGTTAGCAAAGCTGAGGGAAAATGAGACCTCTCCAGGGGATGGCTCCAGCTCCCGGCATACGTTTCCCCTGTGGCCCAGGCCACAGAACTCAAAAACCACAGTGACATCTGCCTCTTCTCCTGGCTGTAGCCCCAGTCCACCAAAGTCTACTCCATCTTCCTAGTGACCACAGACCCCTTCTTTTGGCTTCGATGGACCCCACACCACCCGAGGACCTCCCATGGCCCAGAGCATCAGCAGCCATAGGAGAAAAGCCCTGTGGCAGTGCATGGCTAGACTCGCCCTTCCGAGGCACACCTCATGTACGGGGGCTGATGCACAGACATTGTGCGTCTTCTGGCTCCCCGTGTCCATCTGTTTCTCTCCCCAGCCATACAGAGCAAACGGGTGCTTGTTCTCTTTTATTTTGATTGCTGATCTTTGGGGGCTTCTGGTTGTTTTCTTACTTCCTCTGGCAAATAAGGCACTAGGCTGCTGTCGTGGTTCGGGGCCAGTGGGCACCCTGTCAGTCTCTCTTGTCCCAGTCTGTTGCTCGGGTTTTCCTTCTATGTCCTTTTTGGGTGGTGCTTTTGAAAAAAGGAATGAGACAAGATGGAAACACTTTAAATCAAGTTTATATATAATTATTTAACTGAAGTTGAAAAACAATGCTTCATGAAATCAGTTACATGCTTACTATGGCTAAACTCAACAGGTTTTACTTAAAGCAAGGTATGGAAACAAATTTGTAGAATAACTGTCATTTACCCCATTTTAAAAATTGACAACAAAGGTTCCAACATGAAATCAAAACAATTTCAAGGCAACCTTGAGGGCCACCTTCAGGATCCATCATCACGATGATGAGGGAGTGCACACATCTGGGAGCTCCCTCCACAAGCCCCAGGGTGTGTGCTCCTCTCTGTGCCTTCTCTGGGACAGATAGGCTGTCCTCACCAGGCGGCTACTCAAGGTTGGTTTCTAAGTCACTCCCTGAGTTTTAGAATTCTGCTTCCTCTTTGATGTATGTTGATGGAAAACCTCCTTACCTGTGCCTCCAAAGAGGCAGCTGTCCACCTGAGCCTAAGGGCACCTGTCACGACAGGATGTGGTCACCATGCGGCTCACCTGAACGTAGCCCTTTACAGCATCCCCAGTGCAAAAAGCAAGAGATAATGAAACGGAAGTGTCTGCATGAGTCAAGGTCCTAGTGTTGTGCTTAAATATGTAATGTCCTCACAGGCTCAGGA